CCGGGCCGCCGGCGCGAGCAAGCCCTCGAGCCTCCTCCAGGTCACGACAGTCCTGGCCCAGCAGAAAGCCCGAGTCCCCGTTGGTCATGCCTCCGTGTCGCGGCGCGCGAGAATCCGCCGCCTCCGTGCCGCGGTGCTTGGAGCCGGATCCCGGCGGGCAAGCGCCGGAACGCGGGGCTGGCCAGCGGGGAGGGGACAGTAGCAGAGCCCCGGACCCAGCTGCTCCCCCGCCGCCTCGAGGTAACGCTGCAGCAGCTGCCGAGGCGGCGTCTTCTCCTCCTCCTCCTCCTCCTCAGCCTCCTCGGGAGGCTCCACAGCGCCGACGCCTCCGCCAAAGCCGCCCGTGGCCCGGATCATCTTCCCGTCCTGGCCCACGGGCTCCGGCGCCAGAACCGGGAACAACTTGGCATTTCTTCCCGAGCAGGCTCCGGCATCCTCCGGACCCACCATCTAAGGGCCGGGTAGTCGCGGCCGGAGCAGGCGGCGGAGGACTCGCCCGCACAGGCTCGCCTAGAACAGCCCTGGGTGCTGGTGCTAGGGCTGCGGCCGCGGCCGCCGCAACGTTCCCAGACCCACCCCTCCCACCCGCGGGGTCTGGGAGTTGCGAGAGGGCGGGCGCGCGCCCGGGCTCGCGCACGCGCAAAAGCCGGACCGGTCAAGCTGCGACCTGGAGATTCCCCGAACCATAGAGACGATAGCTAGAGCGACTCGGGCGGCCAATCTGGGATCTGGCGTCTGGTTGGTGGAGGCTGGTTTGCGCACTCCGAGGGTTGACAGTTCTTAACAGAAGCGCGGGTATTGCTCTCTTAGAAAAAACTCACTTGGCGTTACTTCATTTATAAGAGTAAAATATAGGATGTTAGCGTCCTTCCAGCTCTAATTGGTCACTAGTCAATTTTACGATTTTTGCCTCCTTCTACGCTACAGTAAAGGATTTCACTGCTTCATGGCATTATCTTCTCCACTTAATCTTCGACAGTACTACAAAAGTCAACTTTCTTTCCCAGAACCGCGTTTCGGTACATTGTTTCTGTTATTTCCTAAGGAGGGAGAAGAAGTGGAATCAGGCGGAGAAGGACTAATCATAATTTCAGCAACCTGTGATGATGGATTAAAATGAGATGATGACTAGGGAATAGAAATGAAATGTATTTAAAGTATAAAATCACAAGATGTGACAACGAACCAGAGGAGCGATAGAGGAACCAACAATTACTACAAAGCTATAAAACTGAAACTGATGTGGTTTGAAATAGGAAATTGAGTTGGAAAATTTTTTCCTGATTAATAGAGGAAACATCTGGTAAAGCAAAAGGCTGGAACTATCTAAGCATATAGTTAAGAGTTCCAAAAACTTAAGTTAGGGTTTAGGTTTGGAAATGCAGGTTGATTAGTCATCTGCTAATGAAACTTTAGATGAATAATAAGTGACATCACTTTGGAAGAAAGAACAAGGTGGAGTGACCCAAAGATGTCATTATTTCAGAATAGAAAAAAAATTGTATTGCAAAAGATTAAAGAGTCAGGCAGCAGTCCTAAATAAGACAAACAGCAAATATAGAACTCTCATTCTAGAACTGTGTCAGTAAAAGCAAAGACAATAGTGGAAGAATGAAGTAGAAATCACAGGAAAAAGTATTATGGAGTCTTTAGAAATTACATTTATTATTAGATCTGATAGTATATAATAATAATAATGACTTATTATTAGGATCTAATAATAATCCTAATTTGTTATTAGGATCTTTCAGGAGGAAGAAATGACTTCTGGGACACACAGGTAGAAAAGTCAATATGGCAAGAGATAAAAAATAGTTTTGAATTATATATGTTGATAGTGTAGTGCTCCAAAATATGTAAAGAATTCACATAACTAAACAATTAAAAGACAAACCAATTTTAAAATGGGCAAAGGACTTGAATATATATTTTCCCAAAGAAGATATGTTAATGAGATATTAATAAGCATATTTAGTTATATTACCTTTAGGAAAAGGCAAATCAAAACTACAATGACATAGTACTTCACACACACAAGCATTTTAGCAATTTTGAAAAAAAACCAAAATAACAAGTATTGGAGAGAATGTGGAAAAGGTTATAATTGCTGATGGTATAGCTACTTTAAAAATAGCTCATTAGTTATTCGATAAGAAAAACATATCATTACCATACAACCCAACAATGCTACTAGTAGGTGTATATCTAAAAGAATTGAAAACAGGTGTTCAAAACAAAAATGTTTTACATGAATGTTCAAATCAGCAATAGTCATAGTAACCAAAAGGTGAAAACAACCCAAATGTCCATCCACAGAGGACATTAGCATAATGTTTTTGAGATTCATCAGGTTGTACTGTATCAGTACTTTATTCCTATTTATAACTGAATAACATTTTACTATATGGATAAACAAAACTGGTATATAGACACAAAGATAACATGTTATATAATTCCATTTATATGAAATATCCAGAATAGGTAAATAGAAACAGAAAGCAGATTAGTGATTTTCAACCACTGGGGGAAGGGGGAATGAAGCCCAATGGATATTTTGGGGTGAAATAAAATGAATGAATATGGAGTGAACATGAAAATGTTTTGGAACTAGAGAGAACTGGTGGTTGTACAACATTGTGAATGTACTAAATGTCACTGAATTCTATATTTTAAAATGGTTAATTTTGCCATACACAGTAGTACACGTGTGTAATCCCAGAGACTCAGGAGGCTTAGGCAGCAGGATTGCAAGTTGAAGCCAGCCTCAGTGATTTAGTGAGATCCTAAGCAATTTAGTGAGCCCTTGATTCAAGATAAAAAATAAAAAAGGCCGGTTGATTTGGTGCACGCTTGTAATCTCAGCAGCCGGGAAGCTGAGACAGAAGGATCTTGAGTTCAATTCAAAGCCAACCTCAGCAATGGTGAGGGGCTAAGCAATTCAATAAGACCCTGTCTCTAAATAAAATACAAAATAGGGCTGGAGATGTGGCTCAGTGGTTGAGTGCCCCTGAGTTCAATCCCCAGTACTAGAAAACAAACAAACAAACAGACAAACAGACAGACACATAGATAGATAGATAGGGCTAGAGACTTAGCAATAAAGCTTGCTTAGTTTAATCCCTGGTAGCAAAATAAATTAAAATTGTTAATTTTATGTTATGTATATTTCATCTCAATTAAAAAAAATTAACTTAGCATATTTAACTAAAAAGAGCCAATAAAAATAAAAAGCTTTTTAACAATATAGGAGTTGTCTAGACTAAGATATTTATGTGAAGATAAAGAGGAGGGTATCTGAGAGAGTCTAATCTGAATCATTTGTCTTTTTTACCTTCATCCGTTCCACCTAGAAACTTTATCTTGCAATTTTCTTCCTGCTGTCAAATCATTCCTAATTAACTTATTCCTTTCTAGCTACCACTATATTTCTCCTTTTATGAAATCATGCTATTTTAAAATTTCAGTTTCTCTATAAATGGCTTATTTTGGTCATTTCCTTCCTGTCACAGCAAAGGATTAACGAATCATGATAACCCATTTCAACCATACAATTTTCTCAGTGTGGAATTAAAAAATGAAGAAAATTTATATTTTCTATGTACTGTAGCAGAGCATGGTGGCACACACTTCTAATTCCAGCAACTCATGAGGTTGAGGTGGGAGGATTGCAAGTTCAAGAGCAGACTCAGAAACTTAGACCATGTCTCAAAATAAAAAGGGTTGAGAATGTAGTTCAAAATCATGTGATTAAGGGTTGGGGTTGTGGCTCAGTGGTAGAACACTTGCCTAGCATGTGAGGCACTGGGTTTAATCCCTGGTACCATATAAAAAATAAATAAATAAATAAATAAAGGTATTATGTCCATCACTAAGAAAATATTTTAAAAAACCATGATTCAGAAACTGTCTTATGCTTATTGTAATATATGCAATTTTCATTGCTCATGAATGAATGAAAGATTAACATAACAGCTATTTTTTAACCTTTGTTTTATTTACTTATTTTTATGTGGTGCTGAGTGCTAAGAGCCACAGCCAAGTAATATGATGCATGGCATTTTTGGTTGAAAGGTGACACCAGCTAGCCATTGAGATGATATGATTATGTTAAGATTTGCATTCATATGGATATTGGACTCCTGCTGTTCACCTCAGCCTGCTACGGGACTCCTGGAGAATTCCCATTGGTTGGGGAAGTACAGTAGGAAGGAATTCCGGGGGGAGGAACTTGTTCTGGGGTTCTGGGAGAATGCCACGTGTGTGGATCAGCTTCTTCCCGGGCGTGAATGGGGTATTGGCGGCAGTTTCAAAAATAAAGTTTGTTCCTGCTTGAGTGGCTCGTGATTTTGTGCCCAGCCAGACTGTGGCAATTGGTGGCCCGTGCGGGGGACGCCTGAAGCTTGGAGGTGAGTAAAATTGCTCACCCCTGAGGGAAGGTGACAGAATGGGTGACCATTTCAAAAAACAATGTGTTCTTGGTTTGATTTATTTTGTTTTTGTTTCAAGCTGCCTATCCCTAGAATTTTCTCAGGCAAACTGGGAAAAATGGTTGGCTCAAGGTTTGAAGTTATTCGGCCCTGAGAAAGAGAAAATTGATACAACTATTCTTTGTTCCCTTTTTGTTTCATTCTGTTTCGGCTTTGTTTTATGCTATCTTATTGGGTTGCGTTACCTTTATAGTAGATTAGAAACTAGTACAAAACAAACCGAAAGACTGTTAAGTAAATTGTTAGAGGTCCAGACTATGGTAGAAAACATGTTAGGTCAAGCAAAAGAGAAGGTCTCTTGAGCTAGTCAGAGGAAAATTTGAAGAAAGAAAGCTTAGAGGAGAAACAACCAACAGGGGGGGAATTACAACAGGAGGCTGCTACTAACTCCGTTCTATCACCAGAGGGCGTAATTCAACCAACAGCTCCATCTACAGCTGAGCAGCCCTCAACTCCCGTAGTTGATGGACGGACTCCTGAGGCAGGACCCCAAAGATTAGCATGCCCTGTACTTGAGGAGGCAGGAGGGCAACGAATTCACCATGCTTTAGATTTCAAAACAGTGAAGCAATTAAAGGAGGCTGTAACAACCTATGGCCCGCATGCACCCTTCACTTTGAGCATGGTCGAATCCATTACCAACTTAGACATGACGCCAGCAGATTGAGCTAAGGTGTGTCGATCTGTGCTAAATGGAGGACAATACTTGTTATGGAAGGTTGCCAATGAGGAATTTTGCATGGAGACAGCTAGGCGAAATGCAGTAGCCGGTTACCCTCAAAGAAATCTAGATATGTTATTAGGAAAGGGACCTTATGAGGGTCAATGGCAACAAATTGAATATGATCCTGGTGTATACGCACAAATTTCTGTAGATGCAGTTAGGGCATGGAAAACTTTATAGGGGCATGGAGATTTACAAGGTCAATTATCTAAGGTAATACAAGGAACTAATGAACCTTACACTGAATTTGTAGACAGGCTTATTCAAACAGCTTCTAGAATATTTGGAGATACAGAACAGGCAATGCCATTTATAAAAACAACTGGCTTATGACCAAGCAAATTGTTGCTGCAGAGAGGTCATTAGACCATGGAGACATGAAGATTTAAAC